GTATCAGTCTAAGTATTGAATAACATGTGCTGTATAATGGAAATGTCCCCTCTTTTGTTGTGTGCATAGTCTCTCAAATGTAGGATGAGAATTCATGCAATTTCCTCTGCTTTTTTCAAATCTGGAGCCTCCATCACACCAATGCAAATTTAATGATGGGGTAGAAAGGAATAACTAACCCCATGTAGTTATTACTGCTGCCACAAACAATGATGGACGATAGTCTAATCAAACGCATTTGCCAATGGATATGATTAAGCTAAATTTAATTCACCCAAAGACTTGAAGATACGAACATTGCATATTCTCTGAAGACAGTTTTCCTCTGCAGGGAAACCAAAATAATTATTCTTAAAAACCTTCGAAGTCTGCATCTAAAGACTGCCCCCTTTGAAGCTGACGTCCTCAAGTGTAGCTCATTTAATTTGCTTGCAATGTTATATGCTCTGCTTATATCCTAGTGACTTAAGGCTGTTTTGTTATCTGAACACAAACAGAATTTCCATGCTAATTTGAATTATGATTGCTTTTACTTCTTTGCCCAGTTGGAGTGCTTTTTATAGGGGCAAAAATTTAGGTAAGGAAGTAACTTCAGAGGGAGACCCAATTACTCTTTGAAAATGCATCTCCTCGCAGTCAAAACATTGAAATAGAAGTGAAAATTAAACATTCAGCTATACAGGGATTTAAAAAAAGACATAATGAGCTAAAGTTGAATATCAGTGCTTTGAATCCTTTAATTCTTCAAACATCGGTAGGTGAGTTTACTTTCATGGCAGATAGGTGATAAATTCAAACAAAAGGCATCTCTCCCTCCCTCCTGCAATTCCTTTATACCCAACTGTGACTTTCCCTCAGGCTTTGGGCTGCTACACTTTGCTAAACACAAGTGTTCCCAATTGCTTCTGCAAACTCATTGGATGACAGCAGTGCAATGCTGTCAGAAAAGACTTATATGGGTGAAAATGTCACCTTCTATACTTTAAAGCCATGAAGTAAGTCCTAATGGCCACACACTTAAGATACCCTTACCTTCGAAATGCAAGGGCAAAATTAATTGAGTTGTAATATCTATTAGTATTTCATTCATAGAGATAGGAAAACATTTAAATTACCACCTAGATTAATTAGGATAGGATGGAAGGGAGAAATAGATAGAGATAGATGGCAAGGAATTGGAGATAATATAGAGAAGCCAGGTGTTTAGGAGTGTGGAGGGACCTAAGTCATCACAGAGTCACCAAGGGTTTGGTGAGCTTGTGCTTCCTGGCAGGCTTTGTCCTGAGTACCTTTAAATGCATCCATTGCTAAACATGGCACTGCAAAGAGAAGAAAGGGATAGCTCAGTGGAGCAAATCCCAGGGAAAGGTGCTTAGAAAAGAGACTTTCCCGCTAAGAAATTCCATGGGTGGAAACCAGAGGGCTGATTGGCTTGTAAAGTAATTGGAAGCAGAGTAGCTTTGTCTTGATCCTGTGGGCAGTACAAACAGGATTGCATCCTGAGGGTCAGAATGAGTGAAAACAAAAGAAGAGACAATGCATGTAACAGGTGTTTTTACCAATGCTATGCATTGCTTGTAAAACCTCTCACTAATTTCACAAAATCACTGTCCACTAGGGGCAGTGATCACATCAGCATGCCAGGTACTGCTGTGACAACACTGCCACTGTTATTCAGAATTTATACAGCTTCATATGTAGAGAAATAACAAAACACAGACAACCCTAATAAACATACTGACCTCTAGTGCAGAATTTCAGGGATCTTCTCCTTTGCCCTAAACGATAGGGCTGCAGCCAATTGCCTAGCTCTGTAAACATCCTTGAACTCTTTCTCTTCTAAAAGAGACCACTTTCTGCCAACATATGGTTTAGAGTTTGTCTTCTTTGTCAGCTGTTTTCTTCTCTTTTGAATATGGAAGAAGGGGGTGGAGGTTTCATAGTTCCTTCATCTGTTCTTACAGTTTCCTAGACAGCTTGGCTGAGTGGAAAGAGGAATGGCTTTTAAAACCACGAACCTTTTTCTGGCCACTGCTCACACAAAGGGAAAGGAAGGCAGTTTTGCAGGGTTGTTGGCTGCGCTTAAAGGCCATTATGTAGTGGTGTAGTTCTCCCTTCATTTGAGAGAATATTTGCCCTTGGTAACTCCACAGTGTTAATGTCAAAACACTGGGCATGAACAGAAGCCAGTTCTGTATAACAGGGGTCTCACAACTCAGACCTATCTTACAGAAGCATCCCTTGTAGCGGATCAGACTACATTCTGACTCAAACAGCGTTGAAAAAGAGAAAGGACTATAAAAATTAGGATCATCTGAGTACAGTAGCTCCCCCCTTATGTGAAGGAACATCCCAAAACCCACAGTGGATACCTAGAATTTGGGATAGTACCAAATTCAAGCAAAGTGGTGTTTCCTCAGTCCATCTAGTAATCTAGATGACTACAAAGTGACTAATGGGTGAGTTGTGTCCTGGACAGAAAGGAGCTAGACAAACACAAAGTTTCATCACACTACTCAGATGTACGCAGCTTAAAACTGTTCATTTCTGTAATTTTTCATTTGCTGTTTCTGGGCCATAGTAGGCCACTGGAAACTGAAACCACAGAGCCAAACAGTGGGTAAGGAAGGACTGTTGTGTTTGTATCTTAGGTTACATCTTAACTTCACCTTGATCTCAACATAAAAAAAATTCTGTATTCTTTAGAAAACTCACAGAAGACCATTTTGTGCTGGAACAGAGTAGAGCAGTTTAAGCATTGAAGGACAGTCCAGATAACTAGGAAAATAGTATTCTCAGAAGCACAGGTGACTTCCTGAATAGTAACGGCAGAAAGTTATGCTGCTTACTGTAGCATGTGAGAGTTGCCTGAGTCAGCTTTATCCTAGCCTGCTGCACAGGACATGGGCGGGTGGCCAGCATGCTTGCCATCCTGTGTATTCTGCCGTGATTACCACGCATAGTTGTCCAATTTAATTAGTGGAAACAATAAATGGAATAATATTATTGGCGGTATGACCGATTTTGATCAACCAGAGGTGGCTTCACCATCCTGTCATTCCTCAGCCTCACCAGCTATAGCAACTAATGGATGGATTCATGCTTGCCAGATACCCTGGGACTTCAGCACTTGCCTAAGATCAAATGAGTTTCTATGTCACATTAAAATACATGAAAGCAAAACATTCGGAGAAAAATGGAGAAATGAGAAATGAGTTATCATGAAGTCATCTTTAGCAGAGACAAAAATATATTGATGGTTTATAGAGGACAAGCATGGTAATATGTTGCAGATCACAGAACCTAAGTGATAGAATCTGTAATAAATCCGTTTGTATGTCACCTAGAGCGTGAATTCTCTTTTTTCCCCTTTTCCTTCCTTTTTATGTATTTGTTTTTGAGACGGGTCTTCACTGTTGCCCAGGATGATCTCAAACTCCTGGGCTCAAGTGATCCTCCTGCCTCAGACCCACAAGTAACTGGGACTACAGGCTTGTGTCATTGTGCCTGGCTCCCACTCTTTCCCTAAATTGTATTTGAAGTTGTCCCCCATTACTCATCTCTTGAAAACTTCCTGTATTTTAAAATAGCTACTACAATTTTCCTTCACTATTGTGAAGGGGTTGTTTTTGCCATATATGTTCAAATGGCACATGGGGTTTTGGAGTGGGTGGACTGAACACTTACAGGCCCAAAGTTACTGTTTTGCGAGTAAGTCATCCTAAAACCTGAGTAGGCTGCCTTCTCATCTCTCTGGAACCCTGTTCTGTTTATTTACATGGCATTAAAAGTAGCTCATTCCATATAGGGATATTGTAATGTTAACAGCCATAAGCAAACGTAATACAATATTGATCCCTAACTAAAGCTTATTCATGTGTAAAGGATATGTATATTTATATTTTTTATTTGGTTCTTATAAAATTTTTCTGGGAAAGGTAGTCTTTATATTTTTGGAAATCATAGCATGTGTTATAGGCAAGATAAAAATTCCACATGTTTTCTTGGATTGTGTATGTTTGTTTATAGATTTGTGTGAGTATGCACATATGTATATATACACAAACATACATACACATACCACCTTGACCATTGTGAGTCACAAAGAGATATGTTTAAAAAGGTTATTCAAGTAAGGGTGGCAGCCTGCCTGCCTAGGAGCAAAGGGACTCCAACCTCACCTGAATAGTATTGTTTTTCTTTCATTTTTGGATTCCAAGTGTTGGTAGACTTCCTCCTTACACTGTCAATACATTTTTCTCTCTGCTGAAAAGGACTTCATGATAACCTACTTTCCCATTTTTCTCAGAATATTTTGCTTTCATGTATTTTATATCAGATATAAACACAGACACACACACACACACAATTTCAGTTGCTATTTCTTTCTGTTGATCTTAGCCATGCAAGCACTGAAGTGCCAGGGTATTCTGGCAAGTGTGAGTCCATCTGGAAAGTCATTGGCACTCATTGTCATGGGTGTCAGTATGCAAAGAGCTCCCATTTGGGCTATCCCTGGATGTTGAGGTTTAACAAATGGTGGTAGAGTTATAGGATATTAGTGCCCCATTCTGAGAGGATGATGACTTTCTGTATCTGTGCTGCTCAGTGTGTTATCAAGGAGTCACATGTGACCATAGACACATGCATTGTGGCTGAAGGATTTTAATTAATTTGAATTTAAATAACCACATATGGCTAGTGATTCCCAGCTTTACCATGGCAGATGTATAAACATTATGCTGCATATCTGTCTGTTATTTAGCAGACTAATGTGAGTAACATTCAGGGAACTTTACACTCACCTACCTTCAGACCATATTGGGGGTGGTAGGAGCAGCAAGTAATGTATGAAAAGGGTGTGAAAGAAGTGGAGGTTTTAAGCTTAAGTTGGTTATGTGTGACTCCACTGTCAACTCGTGTGAATGATGGTGACTTTTCAGAGGTGACCAGAGAGTGGTGTTTGGGATCTTCACTCTCTTTTGATTTTGTTTCCACAGGATCTTTCATGCTGGTGAATACATCTGGGAGACCGGAGGGGCAGAGAGCTCACCTGTATTTACCTCAGCTGAAGGAAAATGACACCCACTGCATTGACTTTCACTATTTTGTATCGAGCAAGAGTAATTCTGCTCCAGGGTTTCTCAATGTCTATGTGAAGGTCAATAACGGACCCTTGGGGAATCCTATCTGGAATATATCTGGAGACCCAACACGCACGTGGAACAGGGCAGAACTAGCCATCAGTACGTTCTGGCCTAATTTTTATCAGGTATGTGTTTTCTTTCCACTTCATGTTTTAAAGCATCCTTGAATATCTAAAAATATAATTGTTCTTATATTAGTATAATCAGAGATTGAATGATATACTATACTATATGATAAGGAGTGTCTTTTGGCTTTGTGAAATGACTGAAAACACAGTTCACATTTGTTTCTGCCTGTTATACACAATTTTAAGAAAGACAGCAATAATTCGCAGCAGGACAAGCAGTGCTATGTGCTAGGATGTTTCAGTTTCTATATTAACTAAGCATGTGACCCAGAGGGACAGTACTTGAGGCTGAAAAGAAGATTCCTTTTTTGCCAATGGATCTCAGGAGTAGATGAGCCATGAAGAAGAGAGCCCTAGTAGAGGTCAGCCTGATGGGGGCAAGTCCTGCCTCCTCACTGACTTCATGTCACAGATGGATTGCTATCAGCCCTGTCCTGTTAATTTTAGACACTCTATTGAGACTCCAGTTGCCTACTTTGTGTGAGCTCCCTTTTTTAAGGTAACAGCAGGCAAAAGGCCAGGGGCAGTTAACAAGTCATACAAAAGCAATCTCATAAGAGTATCCTGAAGTAGGACCAAAGGTGGGAAATTAGTGACAATTGGCATTTGGGGTGCTTTTCCCTTTTAACCACAGCATCTTTTACAAATTGTTTGATATTGAGAATACTCAATTGATTTTTAGCTCAGAGCAGTCTGAAGAGGATTGTGATATTTTGCTGTTCTCTTAATGCCTTTGGCCCATTCAGGGGTTGGCCTGAACCTGCGGCTATGATCATTTCTCAATTTTAATTAAGTTGCTCAGCTAGACTCAGGGGGGAGGCCCAGGTCTTCCCAGGGCCAGTTGTCTTCAGAACAGGCATGAACAGCATCCAGCTATTCCCCAGGTGTGCTGTTACCAGTGAGACCCTTCAAGCCCAGTTCTTCTATCCTTGGATTGATCATGGGATAAATGGGCTATAAATTCCTTGCTTAATCCATTTTTGTGTCCCTGTACCCAGCACATGTTCTGGTTTTTAATGAATGATAAATAAATTTTTCTTAAGTGGAAGTAAAGAGGTAGTGAAAGCTCTGTTAGTACATACCTAAGTTGTTTAAATCTTTTTAGAGTATACTTTGGCAATAAATTTTAAGTGTGTTAAAATTTAAGTATGACTAAATTTAGCAAACTACTATTAGGAATATATACTAAAGAAATAATGAAGAGTGATTTCAAATAATTAACTAGAGATATGTTGCATAGCAGGCTATTTATCATAATGCAAAATCGAAACAGTTTTATTTCCAGCAGTAGGGGATTTTAATTTATGCTACCTCAATACAAAAATTCGTTTTGTAGACATTAAAAATGTTATAGAAGATCATTTAGTGATGTATTTAAGCTTATGCTGGTAAATGGATAAAGCATGTATAAAGCAATATATCGAATTCTTGTCTTAAATTTAAAAACATATATAATAAAGACCAAAATATATTCTGAAATAAATGTATAAAAAAGTGGTAAAAAGTGATTTGATTGTTTTTCTCCTGTCATAGTATATATTTTCACTGGTGTATATGTGTTATTTTTATTTGTGAAACAAAAAAAAGAGTAAAAATTACTTTTTCCTCAGGAAGGAAAGTAACTATTTAATGAATATCTTCTTCTAATATAAATGTAACAGAACCAAATCAGTAGCACAATCAAAAAATATGACCTGTGAGGCAGTTCACGAAGCAAGTGGGGGAGGGTGTTTGGTTGAGCAGGACCTCAGGAGGGTTCTCCATGTTGGCTCTGAGGCTGAGTAGGAGTACAAAGCTTCATGGGAAGGAGACCTTCTCGGGGTAGGGCAGATCTTGCTCCAGGAGACTTGCTCTGGAACAGATCCTAGGCTTGTTACCTGCTCAGGGTGGATGGGCTGCACTCCTAGACACCAGTATCTTGTGTATTGTCCATCTTTGCCCTGAGTTCCTTCTATTTGGCCCGAGTTAGGTCCTTTGCAACCTTTAGAGTGAGTTCTTTCTTCAACATACTGGTTTAGTATGACATTGGCTGCAATTGAGATCTAGGATTTCTGTTTTGCCTTTTGCATGCATAGCTCAGGGAGTCAAGTACATTTAAGGAATGGTTTAATTTATACACAGTCTTAGAGCAGGCTTATTTAAGGAATTTTTGAGTCACATTGAAAGTAGGATGGTCCTACATTTTAGGCTATTGTCACTTTAAATGAATTCTTACTTTCTGCAGCAAATCTGGCTAAAATATTTTTCTTCCTAATTGTGAACCTGATCTAACCCTCATAGTTGCCACTGTGATCTCTCTCATTACTAAGTAGAACATGATTTACCAAATTCAGTTGGAACTTTGTTTTCATAGCTTTCCGGTTTATGGATTTTTTTTTTTTTTTTGGTTTTATGAAGCTTATTGCATCACTGGTGTCAGTCTGCTGGGCTGCAGTAACAGAATACCATAGAGTAGGTATCTTAAACAACAAACATTTACTTCTCACACTTCTGGAGTGTGAGAAGCCCAAGGTCAGGGTATCAATTTGGATTTTGGCGAAGGCTTTCTTCCTGGTCTGCAAACGTCTGTCTTCTTACTATGTGTGTCCTGTGGTAGGGGAACAGAGGGAGAGGAAACTTTCTCATGCCTAGTCTCCTGAAGGCAGTAATCCCATCATGAAGACACCATTCCCATGATTTAATCACCTCCCAAAGGTAACACCTCCTAATACCATCATATTGGGAATTAGGGTTTCCACATCAGTTTGGGGGCTGATACAAACATTCAGTTCATAACACTGATTGATTCATTAAGAATCACTTCATACTTTAAAGGTGGATTTGCAGAGATTCTCTTTTTTATTTTTATTGTACTGGGGGTACATTGTGACATTTACCGAAATGCTTAACAATATACCATAGTTGAATTCACCCCCTCCATCTTTCTCCTTTATCCACCCCCCCCCATTCCTGGAATAGTTTCAACAGGTCTCATTTTTCCCATTTTCATGAATGAGTATATACTATTTCTACCATATTTACCCTCCTACACCTTTTCCTTTTATCACCCACCCTCCTAGAAAGGTACCTACTCCTACAAAGGGCCTGTCTTATCTTCTTGTTCTCCATTTTTGAAAAGACATTTCTGTTTAAGATAGCTATATGGGGAGTTTCATTGTGACATTTCTGTGTATAAGTATTAAAACCTGAATTGGTTCATCTCTTCTATTTTTCTCCTTTCCGTCTTAGTCCCCTTATTATGGTGATTTCAGCAGGCTTAAAAATTCCATATTCTTTCTTACATGGAAAGTACATCAGCCATATTCACCTTCTTAACTTCCTTCTTTTACCCTTTCTCTCTTGCTAGTGCCCTCCCCTTAGCATGATCTATTTTTTTTGTTTGTTTGTTTGTTTGTTTTTTATGTCCAAACATTTTGAAATTATAATTTAAGGGTAAAAGCTGAAAAACTATGCTATTTCTGCTAGAGATTAAGTGTACCTTTTCCTGTTTCTCCCAAATAAAATCATAGTTTACTATTTAATTACACCTCAAAGTTTAAGTTTTCTCTCAGTACAAAGCAACCACTACATACACATAAAATACTTATTTGTTAATGTAATTATTTCCCTGGCTCATCCAACGTGCAATGCACATGACTCTAAAGACTACAATTTGGGGCAAGTGTAATGAACTGATAAACCACAATTTCAAGTTTCAAAACTTTTTCTTAAAAGAATTTATAGGACACTCATGTCATTTTTACTTCTTAGTAAGATGTTGCACTGTCATTTCATTATCAGTCTACCTTTAGTACTAAAAGAATTACCAGATGCCAATTTGAAGGAACTACAGATACAATTTCAAAAGTACTATTATTTCTTAATGGCCAACTAAGGTCATTATAAATTAAGTTTCTGTTTACATCCTGCTGAAGAGCTCTGTATAGTTTCAGCACCTAACTATCTACCAGGCTCCAAGGACTCAGGTTAAATGATAGTGCGATATTTTAAAAAGGAGCCAATTACTTCAGCATAAGCCATTCAGAGCCCCAAATCCGAAGAATGACCAAAATCAAATCTTTATTTTTTATAACTATAATGTGATCCAAATGTGTCCACCACTAGTTTTTCCAAAAGAAACATGCTATAAATAAGCAAACTACATCTGCTCACTGATGTGTATGGACTCCCTAGATGTCTCATTGGGCTTAATTACAGACCACTCACAGTAATAATTTTTAGTATAAAGTGTAGCATGATGTTAAGCCATTTAGCTTTTGCACATACATGTTGCACTTCTGGCTGATAATGGAGAAAAATTTGCAGCATTACACTGTTAAGCTAGGTTGCATCCATCCTTTTAAATGGCATCAATATCAATGTCATCATCCTTGTTGTCAGACTTCACAGTTTCAACTTTCGGTATGCTCCAGTCTTCGAATACACCACCTCAATGTTCTCATCTTCGTCTTCTTCACCACCCGAAGATTCTTCCTCTGCCTCCTTCAACCACTTTATAAATGGTTCTGCTTTGACACGAATCTCTTTGGCAAGTTCTTTTGAGACATATTTCTTAGAGGCCTTTTCTGACCAGCTGATGATGACCTCCTCTTCTAAAAGGTCTGCATCATACATCTCCTTCAAGATATGTGGAATCTTGAAGATGAGTTGAGCTTGATGCATTGCCACCACACATTCCAAACCATGAAGAAGGTACCGCTGAGCTTTTTTGTTGTTGTGACAAAATCTTAGGAAATGGCGCCTATATTTCTTAATTTGTTCTCTAATCTTCTCATTAAAAAGAACTTCAGTCAGAACAAGAGGGCCCATGGCTTTTACATCCAGTCTCTCTGCTTCAGCAACAATTTCTTTGTCTGATGAATCAATAATGCCCTCTTCTTTTTCTTAACAAAATCAAACAGGATATTGACACGCTCTTCTACAGTTCTTTCCAAATCATCACTCAGTGTCAGAACTTTTGCATGGTCACTGATTTCATCCATTCTGCACCTCTGAGCTTCCTCAGTTGTATCCTCTCCCCAGTCATCATCCTCCTCTTCTTCCACAGCATGTGGAGGAGGACTGATTTCATTTGGTGGTGGAGGTGGTGGTGTCTCACTGCTGGATACGGAGCCATTTTCCTTGTCTTTGCCCTTTCTATTTTTCTTTTCCTTTTCTTTCTTTCCTGTACCACTGTCACTATTCTCAGGTAGGTTTTTGAGAATGAATGTGCAGAGCTTATGATGTGTATCAAGCATGCCTCGATAGCCACAGGCTTTACAAGAATTACCTATTGTTTGCTTCTTTGGATTGACATGCAGAAGCATGATCTATTTTTCATAATACTAGATTTGCAAAGATTCTTTAATACAGTCTTGTGATGTTTTAAAGAACCTGGCAATCAACATCAATAAAGGGTGTGGATCAACTGTTCACTTAATTGTTTATTTTTTGGCATTGGGGTTTGAACTCATGGTATTACAGTTGCTAGGCAGGTGCTTTACCACTTGAGTCACTCCCCCAGTCCTTTTTGTTTTAGATATTTTTTGAATAGGATCTCACCATTTATGCCCAGTTCAGCCTGGACTGTGATCCTCCTTTTTAAGTTTCTGTGTACCTGGGGTGTCACACCAAGGTTTTTATTGGTTGAGATGGTGTCTTGCCAGCTTTTTCATGGGCAGGCCTCGAACTGTTATCCTCCCAATCTCCTCCTCCCAAGTAGCAAGGATGTAGGCATGAGCCACTGTGCCCAGCTTGTTCACTTAACTCCTAAGCATTCTACCAAGCACATACATTTGAGGTTTTAAAGGCACAGTGGAGGTAGTACTGTTCACATATTTTCCATTTTTCTGCTAGAGGGCAATAAACTTACTGAAGTCATTACCCTAATAGCAATGTATCTTTGGGTAAGTGGCACATCATAGATGATACAAGAGAGATGTCAGCAGGAAAAGTACCAAACACCAAGCCTTAGGCCTTAAAGCCACCAATAAGACCTGAATAATGTCCCCATTTGGGATAAAAAAGACAGCCATATTAACAGCGATGAAGTGAAAGGAAACCATGTCTAAAACCTATTTCGTATTTCCTGTCCTAAGGTGTCAGCAGAACTTGTCGTGGTCAGATAAGAGCCAGGACATACTGTCAGGTATAGTCAGCGGCAGGCTTTCATGGACTGAAGGCCCACTCCCAGCTTTTGAGGTCAGCACATGCTTATAAGGACATGGTCATTGTTTCCTGATGGTTTTAGAAATGTGGATCATAAGGAGCCCATCTGCTTTTGATGCTATTTTCCGTACAGATTTTTCTACAAGGAGTGTTGTTCTGGCCTAAGGAGGTGAATCTGGTTGGAATCTATTAGTATTTCTAAGTTCAAAATATGTAATAAAAAAATTCTAGTATAATACATACTTGTATGTGATATTTTCTTTTGTAAATACTTTGTATAAAAGTCAATATCTAAATGATGCATTCCTAGAATATAGATCAGCTACTTCTGGGGCTGAAAGCTACAGAAAAGATAGGATATAGGTATTTAAAGGAGGCAGTATTTTTGAGAGAACCTCTCTCAGGGACTCAGCTCCACCTCCACATACCTCTGCATTATTATATGGGCTGCAATATATGTCATATGAACGTATGCTTTATTGCTATTGGGTAGTTTTCACACTAGTATATATTGGAGTATTTTGTTACTGTTTGTTTATGTGATTTGTTGGTGGTGGGAATTACACCCAGGCCTGGTGCATGCTAACCATGTGCTCTCTCACTGAGCTACATATCTAGCTATACTAAGTACATTTGGTATGAGTTTAGATGGATAAGTAAAATGTTTTCAAGGCATTTCAGAGTATTACACTGTAATGGGAAGCATCACAATGGTAAAAGAGCACACACAGAATTGGATTTGAATATCATCCCTGCTTACTTACAATCCCCCACAGCTGATGTAAGTTTTATGAGCCTCACTTTCCTAATTATGGCCTAAATATAATAACCTTTTGGGGTGTGCAAATGAAAGGAGAAATGCATTTGGGATATGCTAGCTTCTCAGTAAATAATGTCAGTTTGTTGAGCCACCATTAAGATTTGTGGGAGACAGTTAAAAGCGAAACAGTTAAGAGTTGAGTGGTCTCTTCCTGCTAAGGCACTTCCTAAATGTGTTTAATGGAATGTCATAAGGTGTTAAATGATAAAGGGAACCAAGAACAAATCCTTTTGTGAAATGCTGGATGAAAAAAAAAATCCACTTTCTTTTCTATAAGAATGCTTCAGAACTGCTGTCCTATAAAGCACAGGTAAGGCTTCCTCCCATGGAATTCTCCCACACCAGGATGCTTGGCTACATCCTAGAGCCCTGGGGAGCTCTAGGTTCCTTATTTCCCTGTACCTCCTGGAACTGTGTCATGAGCATCCCTTTCTCACTTAGCACTGGTGGCAAAATAAGGAGTCATTTTTCATCTTGGTCAAAATGTGAGCTTTGTAGTTGTTAGGTTGGAGGAAGTTTTTCATCAAACCAGACATCACTGCCCTTGTGCTTTGGTTAAACTTTGTAGGTATTCTTAGGCATGTCTTGTTTTCATAGTCCTTCCCCAGTGTGATCTTCATTAAGCATTTATAGAGTTTCGAAACAGTTCTTTAGTACAGTAAAGCCTTTTTACATAATAGTCGTTTTCTGTAGTCCTTACTATTTATAGTAGAAGAGTATTCTGCAGGTACAAATCACAATGGTAACCTGCATGGAGTACAGCTAATTGCAGGTTAATTAAGACTTCTTAAAACAGAAATTGTCAAGCATTTGTTGATTAGCACATTTTTAATTTGTTAATTAAAGTTTGTCCTAATTGCTGTTCCTCAGACCTGCCTTGCTGGGGCTCAGAAGCAGTGGGAAAGTGCAGGGTAAAGGCCTGCCCTGGGGCACTGGCTACCTTGGATTTAGACATTGACTTCCTGCCATTTGAAGAGGAATATTTTCCTTTTACTCTCACCTTCTTGCTTTATTGTACTGATAACAAGAAATAGTTGTCAGCTTTGATTCTGCTTCCTCCTGCCCCCTCATGTTTCAGATGCCCCTGAAGCTGAAGAGTCACCAATTGATTCCTCTGGGTTCTTTCTAATCATGGATACAGCCCCAGAAGCCTCCTGAATCACCTCCAAGGCCTTTATCACTGCTTCTGGCAGATAGTGGTTCTGAGTTACTTAAAGGTCAGGAAGGCAAGGGTGTTTAATATAAGTGGTGGCTTTGTAAAGAGAAAAATGCATAGGCAGCCTGAAATCCCCTTGCCCAGACCTCTCAATAAAGGGAGCCTGTATAGATACAGTCATCAAATGGGAGAGTGCTGTCTCAGGGGAACCTCCTTGTTAAAACAAATTCCTTAAATATGCTGAAGAGTCCTGGGTGAAGATTATGAGTGAATTCCAGGTGAGCCTCCTCTGAATTCTTTGTGCAGAGAGGACACAAGGGAGCTTGTACTTGGGGGGGAAGGCTAAACCAATATTTGCCCTATACCAGACTGACAGCTTTGCTGGTAAATGAGGAGTTAAGGGAGTAGGGATGGCTTTATCTCACCCATCCCTTCATTTTAAACTCCAGTCTTTGTTCCCTGCACTGCTGCCTTGGTTTCTTTGCTGTATTTGCCTTCAGACCACGTATTTTTTTTAATCAGGAAGCTGTATAAGATCCTAGTGAATGGTAGCCTGAATAATTTGCTGCCTAGAGACAGTGTTTTAGAGCTGAATGGGTAAGTACTTTCTGAATTGTGTTCCATAAATCCCGGGAATGTTAGGAGGTATTAGTTGACCAAATATAAAGGCACACGGATAAGTTGAGCAGTCTTGTTCTGCAGGCCTTTTGAGGGCCTAGATGTGTTTCCTGAATCTCCAGAAGGACACTGGGTAGGTGTGGGTACCCAGCTAGAGTCTGGGAATCTACTTGGGCTTTTGCAGAGAATCTCTTGAGTCTAGTTTTCTTGCCATAAACTTGGGAAATACTGATAAGTACCAACTGAAACACAGTACATATCATGACCTATAAGTTCCTTTGGCTATGGCTTTTATTCCAAGTGCCAGACCATTGAATTGCTTCCTTCCTCTTAGGTGACCTGGAGAATTTGACATGACAGTGATGTGTAACTCTCTGTCTGAGCAAGAACTTGAGTCTAAGCAGTTGCCTCTGTACTCTGCATTTTGTGTTTAAAAAAGACGAACAATCTGGTTTTAAGAAGCCAGTGGGAGCACGGGAGGTATCACTTTATTATTGACTCAGCTGCATTCAGAAGGTTGAATGATCTATGTGATAGTCTTTTTTTTTTAATCAAGAACCATGTTTTATTTATTCATGTTTAAAAACTTACCACACCTCTAAACTTTATTCTTAAGTTGTATTTATTATTTGATGATGATCAAGGATGAGCACCTCTTCTGCTGTTTACACCCTCACACCTCTGTGTGGGCTGCTGCTGCTTTCTTGTCAGAACTCTCCTTTATAGTTTTCCCTATTTTGCTTTTTTGTTTCTTTCAGTGATGTTTACTTTCTGTTTTGCATTTGGGTGTATATTAAATGCTACATGGTAAAAGGATTCATCATGACATTTCCATAATGCATACATTGTACTTGGATCTTATCTCTGTTACTCTTCTATCAATTTTCCTCCTTCTTTTCCCTTTCCTTTTCACTTCCCAGTAGTCTTTTACTTTTATGACATTGACTTTTTTGTTTTGTTTGATTTAGTTCCTCTCTTTGAGAGAAAACATTTGATAATTATTTTTATGGTACTCGCTTATTTAATTTAACATGATGATGTCAAAATTTCCATTTTCCAGCAAGTGACATGATTTATTCTTTTTAAAAGCTGAGTAAAATTTATTCTGCATATATAAAACATTTTCTTTATCCATTCATCTGTTGATAGTCACCTAGGCTGATTCTGTAACTTGGCTATTGTGAATAGTCCATGATAAATGTGGGTATTCATGGTTCTCTATAGCATACCGACTGATTCTTTTGGGTAGATACCCAGAAGTGGTGTGGCTAGATCATGTGGGAGTCCTACCTTCAACCTTCAAGACTACATTCAGTTCAAAACTTCCTGGGAGCTGCTGCTAGCCCTATCAAGTTTTGCTACCTGTGTGCTAGGTAGGTTCCCACTCAACTCTTATAGGCCACCATTTTGTGCCCCTAAGGGCAGCAAGTGTCCAAACCTAGGAGTGTTCCCTGAATGTGTTGGCAAGTGGGAGAAGAAGAGTACTGTATACTGCACTGGAGGGAGAGAACTGAGGAAACCCAGCACTTTGCTGGTCTCAGCTCTTTCAGACCCCACTCAGCACT